TACATACTTTTTAACATTCCGTTAAGATCTCTTGTTTGTGCTGTCTGTTGGACATTTTTGGACGCTTGCACCCCTGGCAAAAAAATAAGATGCCATGTCACATTTTTCATCGTTAAGCAAGTGACGTTAGAGGAATTACAGAATGATAGCGTGCTATAAGACTGACTGTCACAAAACCAAAACCACTGTGTTACAACAGCCAATCAGAACAAAGGAGAATGTTACAAGAAGCTAATGAGGACTCAAGTCAAAACAGGGATCTGATCGGTTGAGAGGGTAGAGCCATCACAGAGTATAGCAAAGCAAAATAACTATCAATAATCAACCAAAAACAGCTATTTTGAATTGTTTAAAGGTTGTGGGAAATGTGATTAATTAGAAGTAAACCTTTCAATGGTAGTTTGGCAAGTAAAGAGGGAAGGATGAACCAAATGCGAACATGGATGGTCTATCAAGGATTGCAAATTACGAACTGAGGATGAATCTTTCAAGAAGCACGAGCATTGAAAAAGCTTCTTTGATCAATACTGTACCAATACTGTAGAGCAGCATTGGTATAATACTGTAGAGCAGCATTGGTATAATACTGTAGAGCAGCATTGGTATAATACTGTACAGCAGCATTGGTATAATACTGTACAGCAGCATTGGTATAATACTGCATGATAAAAGAAACTGCAGTGAAGGTTTGGCGTTTATCATAAAAAATGCAACCCCTCAAGTAACAAGTTTGTTTAGTTACAGGGGTCACTAAGAATGAAATTTTGATATCTAAGAAATACTTACACAGGTTATTAAGACTTGACAGGAGAGCAAATGTTACAAATAGTGCGGTCGCTCGGAACATTAGGTTTCTGATACTTCTCTATCTTTTCAGTGATCACAAATTTTCTGGAAAGAATACAATTAGAATAATCAATTTCAACAATAAAGGCTGTATTACTTGAAATATTACCGTAATTTTAATCGTAGACTAAACAAAATAATTGTTGCTTTTTCTTACCTTATCCTTTATGCAAGCATTTATATAAAAAAAAACTAAGCCATTTTCATCCAGTCGAAAAAAAATTTGGAACAGGAACTTTTTCCTCAGCGGCACAAGCACAACCAGTTCACTGGTTTGTGGTCCAAATGTCAGATTTATAAAGTTAAGAAACCTGCGGAGTACTCGGAAAAGAAGCTTTTCAAAATTACACGAAAAGTCTGAGGAAGATTGTTATATGATTCCCTGTTTTGTCGTCGACTAATATATTTTCAACCATTGGAAACCGGTGGTTCTTCGCCAAGGTTCAATAAATAATTCAGAGCGAGTTGAAATTTATCAATCGAAAACAGTTATGCCAACTGGTGTCTGTCTGGTTGTTCTACTTGTGAAAAATGTAGGTCATTGAACATTGGTTTGTTCACTGAAGGATTTACCTCTTCTTTTCAGTAAGCATTATATGCACTTTTAAAGTGACAGGAATGCTAATTCCTAATGATAAATGAGGTTTATGAACTGTTTTATCTAACCTATTTTTTTCTCTTTTTTTATTAACATCATTTGATCGTGTGTCAGGTTTGAAACAAAGGCAAGGTGGCCATAATCCCGTTCGCGCGCTCCTTTGATAAGGTTGTGGCCAAGACTGGCACAGTTAACCCCCACAGGATGTGACCACGTGAGAGCTTTTGTGAATCAACCTCATGCCCAGGACAGCTCAGTTTAGAAATTGACAGCTATTTTGGAAAACCGAGTGGCGCCTGGAGATGACCTTAACAGTGAAATTATAACGGGTTAATCATGTGAAAACATAACACGGTGAATCTGGTAGCCTAGAAACCAGACGAGCGATCTACTTCCAAAAAGCTTTGTTTTTGCAAAAATTTCCTGCGAGAAGGCAGTCAAATCTGATTTCGCAAAGAAAAGAAGGTAATTTCAAGTAGTTTCTTTATTATCTATTAAAGCTCAATTTCCATTTCAACGTTTGCAATTTATACCGTTGAAACAAATTTACAAGCCGTTATTTACAACCCAACACACCAGAAAAATTTTAGAAAAATTCGAGGGAGTTCCACTGACAATGGGCAGACTTAATAAGTTCAGTCTTATCGACTTCTCAGCTTTCTCTTCGATTGATTTATCGGCAATTTAGGAAACTTCTCGTTCTCTTCTGACCAGTTTGTCACATCAACGAGCGTTGAAGTGTGTTGAGTGACGTGACCAATCAATGGCTGCTAAGGATTGCAGATTGACAACTAGGCAGCCTTGAACAATAATTGTCACTGCTAATCGCCGTCGCAAAGTACAGCAACGACGCAGCTCAACAAGGTCGAACCGAAAGCTTACAATAAAGGCGCCTCTAGCAGCCGCTATACGATCCATGTGAACTGTCTTTTACATGGCAGTTACTGGAATTGTTCAAACTGCTTTAAGATCAGCAAGAATTCTCCAATAACATATCAGTCGCAGACCCAGTCGGTGATGGTCTCGTACTTAGCTCCCTTAACCTTCGTCTTACTCTGCTCTTGCAACAGTTCAGTTTCTTTGGCAGAATATCTCGTGGTTTTCTAAGAGAATCGATAAATATTGTATTAAAGACTATTAATTTAAGCTGCATTAGAAAATCAAGTTTTACTGAATAGGTGCACCTTTGAGGAAACGTTTTTAGTTTTCTACATTTATTTGCTCAGGAAACTTGTAAAAGACAACTGTCGAGGTAGACATGCTAGAGTTGAATATCCTTCAAACGCTTTATTATTTTCCTTGACAAGTTTAGGTTTTCTTATCATGTCCCCTCCACACTCAAATGTGCTTCTTGGCAAACTTTGAACACAAGTAGGATTATTTGCTTCCATCACCAGATCTGATGATGTAAAGAGTTTCTACAGCGACGTTTCGAGCCATAGCCCTTCAAGTGATTTTCATTCTCTAAAACGAGTTCTTAATTCTCTAGGGATCTGAAGAGTTGAGATTTTTTAGTGCATTCGGTACGTGTTACCACAAGTTACCTTGCATTCAACTCGGCGGAGATTTGTTCCAAAGTTCTGTTTTTCGTTTCAGGGACATATTTATAAACAAATAGTACGGCTAGAACGCATACAACTGCATAGAAAATAAAGGTTGAAGAAGTTCCTATACTACCTGTGAAAAAAAAAAGAACATGGTGTCTACACGCTCCTTTGAATACTCATTGGGATCTTATACTCACAACAGTATATTGTATACTGTTAGAGAGCTGAGCGCTATTAAAACCAAAATCAAAGTAATCATATTAGCAAATGAGAAACGAGAAAAATTTCATACGGACCCAAAGATCACTCAACGTAAACACAACTAAATCGCCTGATGTTTGGAAAAACCTGAGTGACCAAGTCGTGAGTAAGTTTATTTTTGCACCTGATTAGCCAAGAGAGTGCTACAAGTTTACTAGACCAATCACAGAGCGTTGTGAGACAAAACCAAAGTTGCTTCCGGCTAATAAGGCTGATGCAGATACAATGCAAGCGGACTGGCTAGGAGAGTATTTAATATATAAGGTAAATTTTACTTACTAAGCATATCCAGAAATGTGAGAGAAACAAACAGATTTGTGCCCCAGTTGATTACAGTGGTGATAGAAAAAGCTCTGCCTTTAATACCAGCTGGAAAAATTTCACTCAACACCAACCAAGACACTGAAAAGGGAAAAAATAGGGTTATCAGTCTTTCTTGTGACTCACTACCTTGCAAAGAGACTAGACACTTAAAAACCAAGGGCAAGAATGAGGTTTGATTGGTGTTCTTTACATCACATTAACGTAGTCTCTACAACTCTTACCAACTTGCTCTGTCTCTCTAACTGTTGTTGTTGAAGGGTCCTGTATTTTCCCTTTCAATTGCCGCCTCCTTTGTCTTCCTTTCTTCTTTTCCTAGCTATCCTTTCTTCTACGAAAATTTTTCCTAATTCCTCACTTCTCCTCGAATGATCGTTAGCACCAGCCATTAAGATTCTCTTGCCAATTTATCCTTCCCGATTAAATTAACGCTGCTTTCACGTAAGTTCTTGAGGGATTCAATGAATTTGGTTCGATCAGTCGAAAATTCGTATCAGAACATTTGATCGGCTTTCTTTAAACCGTACAGGCCATACAGGTCTGATTTTTTTCAGGTCTGATTTTCGCTATTGCATAAATAGCGCTCTCTACTGCGAGAATCGTGCATCATACGTTTCTTTAAACCGGAACGTAAAATTCAACCCATTTCGGATCTTTTCGCGATTTGTTTTCACAAAGGTTAGAATCGGCCACTGACACTTCGCTAAAAAAGTAAATTATACACCTAGAATTCAACTGGTTGTTCTGGAATGAAATACAGTCCTCCGATAAGGAAATCGCTACAGTATTCTTAGTGAAAAAATCATGGTGTACTTATTGAACAGACCATAGTTAATCGAGGGGACCTATGAACTATGAACAGACTGGGGAAAATTTCGGTCACCTACTTAGCAGAAAGTTCTCTAAATAGATCCTATTTCCATCCTCATAAAAACAATCACATTTATAAAAAATTAACAAACAGCTCATCACCCCTTTCGTTTGTTTGAGAAAACTGCCTATACATAACAGTTTGTTGGATCGTTGCTTAGTTTAATCATGACTTTACTTCCGATTGGCAAAACAATCATTTTCAGTTTTAATATGAAAACATTACACTGACCTTTATGTGTGAAACTCTACCTGTCTGTCTTACTACATACTCTTCATTAGTTACAGCTGACTGATTGTGTGTAATGCACACGCATTCTACATACAATTGTGGAACACTGTACCAATCCAACTAGCATTTGCGTGTTTCACGAGCGCAATTTGCGTGCCAAGCGCGTGTAATTAGAGAAAATTAACGCACTCGACATGGGTGCAGTGTTGCAATATACAAAACGGAATTGGAAACTGAACATTCCAAGGTTCAAAGAATCCAGGAAACATTTTGTGTCAGTTAAAACTCCTTGTACTTAAAAATTAAAACCAACCGCAATTTTTTATCATTCACACAAACCTGGTCCAAAACTGAATGAGAAGGCACCAACAAAGAGTACCAGAGAAGTGAGGGTCAAATACCGCAACCCTTTGTTAGCTATGTGTGTTGTATACTCTGTTTGGTTTGGTGCTGTCGAGTTGTTATTAAAGTAGCATTTCCTGGTTGGATGCAGACCCAGTGGTGAGTAGTGAGAAATGATCCCTAACGTGAGTATACTGACCGCCATCACTGATACACCTATGAGAAGAAAACGACGACGACCTGGAAACGATATAAAATGTTCCTTTAGTAGAAAGAGAAAATTAAGAACTTGTCGAACTATCACCAACTCACTCACAATGGTCAATGAGAACACATATGAATATCACAAGTAGCCAATTTAAAACTCAAAGAACATTTTTGTGAAGACATACTTTAAGCCTTGAGGCCATAACAATGAAATGACTAAGTCACCACTGGTTTCAATTTTGTACCTGCCGATAATTATTTTTATTAATAAGGGGCTCTAATTTCTCCAGATCAATCACAGAAAGAAGAGACACAAAACCAACACAATCCCTGATTACTTCCAATACAACAGTTAATTGAACGTTTCACTGAACGTTAATATACAGTTATCTGGAACTGAGCGTAAAACTGGACACGGGAGAACAATTCTTACCGCCTTTGTCCACAGTACTGAGAGATATTATAGTAGCAACAAGCTGAAACAATAAAAGGCAAGGAATGAAAACAATTATCTTAACTATAAAGCAACTTGGCTGAGAATTCTGTGTGCTCGCAACTCACGTTTGCAATTCCTATGCCCAAACTTGCTAACGTTGCTTTCTCCCCACTTTGAAAGCCAAGCGCTTGGAAGATTGTTGATGCGTAATACACCACAGTTGGCTGACCTGTGAACTATGAACCGCACAATAATATGATATCCTTAACCTTCTCTCTTGAAATATTCCCTTGATCAGATTCAGGCTTACAGGTGTCTATCCCCTCCCATAAACTATCCACAGAGCGTCTCATACAGGCATGTGCCTTTCACAGCTCTGTAGGTTATCGCAACACCTATTAACTCTGAAAAAAATTATTCTGCTGCAGTGCAAAACCGAACAGTAATATCTTGCTTAAATAGGATCAAATTAAGCATATGAAATTATAAAAACAAAAGGTTATGGTGAAGTGTAAATTTCAAATAATTTTGATTTCTATTTTTAAAAGGTCTGATTAATAGCCGACATCTGAGATTTTAAGAAAAGAGACATTTTTTATTAAAAAAGCAAACGTTTTGATAGTTCTTCTATCATCTTCAGTTCTGATTTACACAAATTACAAAGTTTAATTTATAGCGTACATAGAATGCTAATTGGAAACAGGACAATGTATACAATTACGAAGAAAGTTTTAACATGATAAAAGTTTATGATTTAGCGTGGGTTNCTTCTCTCCCTCCATCTCTCTTCGGCAAGGGCCATGAAAAGGTTTAGACCAGCAAGTTTCAGTTTCCTGGTAATTAAGGTTAAAATATGACATCCAATTCTGCAGGGACATTTACCTTTTGGCAAATTTTAAGGCAAATTATATATTTGTGTCTCTAATTTTTGTCCTACATTGTAAATACTCAGTGGCAATTACCCACGTAACGTCTAATCATCTGCAAGTCAACTAAAGTACATACATATTCCACTTGGAGCCCAGACTTGATTCTTGCAAACTCTTCACGTGGGTCACCTGACCATTGAAGCTTCTGAATCATTCTACAAGCCTGAGAAATGGAATAGGAGCAGGGTGTTTCCACTCAAGAATCACTTACATGTAATATCTAAATAAACCTTGAATTTTACTCTTTGGCTCCCTCTAATATAGAAAATATCTTTACTTTTCATCTAATTTCTTTTCTTTAAATGTAAATTCATATTTGAATTTTTGAGGGTTTAGCATACACCCCTAATTCAACAATGCATTTACTCCACAGAAAAAAACTTGGTACAGTTACCAACCAAGGATGGTAATTTTGGCACTGTTTTCCTGAAAGAAGTCAGCCAGAAGTTTCATTAAAACTTAGCTGAAGCATATCACTGATCAACATCAAGAGTTGACAGAAGTTTATACCTTTCCTCTTCATTTTACATTTACTTTTCATTGTTTTAAAAGGGAAAGGTGATGTTTGACATTTAAGCCACAGATAGCCTTTTACGGTGTTTACCTACTCTCATCTAAACACCAGGGAGGTTCATAAAATTTATCTCTCCAACAACATTACAAAAGAAGGAAAATGTTGTTTTCTACTATTTGATTGATATAGATTTTCTCAATACAGGTGCTATACATGCTCTGCACATAGCCAATCATATCATGACTATCTGACAAGATATCAACCTATCAAAACTTGCACTGTAAAAATCAAAGTGAAGTTAAAATTTGAGACAAGTCCCTTCATGCATGAATAAAACAATTTCAGCTTTGGATTCTTGAAATATGACAGAAAATACAGAAATGTTTAAAATATATGATTCCTTAAGGTATCACAAAAGGAAAATTAGCCTTTTCATTAAAACAGGATGGGTCTATCCCTGTAAAAGCACACATTTTCTTAAAGCTTATTGAACACTGATTTCAGATATTTAATTCAAAATTTTTGCCAGTGGACAAAATGGGAGGCTATTCTTTCCTGCTGAGACATTTCACAAGATAAGCCAGTTAGACCAGGCATTTAAATTAACACATTTCTTTGCTAGTGGAATGTGAAATGCACATATTGAATTAAAAAAGCATGTCTGGGATTTGCATTTTAATAGCGCTTTAGGGCAAAGTCTTTTATTTAGATGCTATATCTCAAGAAATAAGGAAACCATCAAAAATACCAGACACCCTTTTGGGGTTTATTATATTTCTGACGTTATCTCCAAATTTCATGAAAATTGACAGAATATCAGACCAGAATAAACTATCCAAATATCAGAAATCAAGCCCAAACAATTTACCAGAAAAAGTGACTTCAAATTTTTCAGGGTGTCAGTGTTTTTGGGCATAAATTCACGCCTGTGAAGGGTGTTATCCAATCAGATTGGAGCAAGCCATTTGACAATGTTTTGCCTGTCAGCGCTGACGAGTGCTAGCAAGCAATGAGTGGACACAATTTGTAAGGAGTTATTAAGTTGAGAAGGTCAGGGGTAATGTGTGTGAATGTCAAGCTATTTGTGTTGATATGAAAGGTGCTTCAACCAGCAAAAAGAGGACGAAAGAGGTCATGGAGAGGAAGAAGAGCTACACTGGAAACACAGCACAGCTTTTCAACCATCAATGCTTGAGGTGCAATGCGATGCAGATGATGATGGACTGTCAGCAATATTTTTTTCCAAACTAGACCCTACTGCAATTTTGCTAGAAATAGACTGACTCGCCACTGAATATCTTAAGTCCATAAGGAACCCCTATAACTATCAGTGAAAAAAATTTTCCGCTCCCATGCAAACTGTGAAGAGATTTTCCATTTCTGGAGCAGCAAAAGGGAGTTGTCACTTTTGGACATGATAACAGCTTAAATACAACAATTGAATTACAAAAACAGTCTCTCTAGCTTTCAGGAAGAATTGCTGTGAGTAAAATTGATAACAAATGAGCCATTTCTAGACTGTACAAAACTGTACTTGAAAAATCGAGTTTCCAGATGGACTCGATTTTTCTCTTATATTAGAAATTGTTTATTTCATCTTTAAAACTGTACTTGTGTGCATTAAAAATCAAAAGCCAATATAATAAAAGTGACGACGTTATTTTAAAAACAATTTAAAATAACGCCAATATATAAAAGTGACGACGAGACCGACCCTTCAAACTATCGACCAATATCTCTTTTGTCTAATTTTAATAGGATTTTTGAAAAACTTTTGTACTTCCGGATGAAGGAATTTATTGACAAAAACAACCTATTGTACTCCTCACAGTATGGCTTTCGCAAGTCACATTCCACAGAGCATGCAGTACTTGATATTGTCGAAGATATACTACGTAATATGGATAAACGGTACTTCTCATGCGGTGTCTTTATTGACCTGAAAAAGGCATTTGATACGGTCAATCATGAAATATTACTCGATAAATTGAACTTTTACGGTTTCCGTGGATTGATAAATGACTGGTTTCAATCATATTTAAAAAATAGAACACAAACAATTCAGATTGGAGAGCATTTATCAACAAAACTTATCTCCCCCTGTGGTGTCCCCCAGGGATCAGTCCTTGGACCTCTTCTATTTTTACTTTACATAAATGACATTCACCTTTGTTCTGATAAACTAAAATTTTATCTCTTTGCGGATGATACTAATATACTTTATGCTGATAAGAATCTTAAGGCGATCGAGCAAACGGTTAATGTAGAGTTGAATAACGTACATGACTGGTTAACTACAAATAGGTTGACATTGAATACAAAAAAATCAAATTTCTTAATTTTTCGTCCTCATCAGAAAAAAATGCATTTTTCTCCACAAATAGGTATTTTAGATTGTGAGACAAACCGAAGAGTTAGTTTAGAGCAAAAAAGTTATATCAAATATCTAGGCGTTTTAATTGATCAAAATTTGTCATGGAAAAACCATGTTGACTCTGTTATCGTAAAAATAAGTAAAACAATAGGGATGATTGCAAAGCTGAGGTACTTCGTTCCCTCTACTATCCTTGTAAATATTTACAATTCATTAATTCTACCTTATATAACTTATGGACTCCTTGCCTGGGGCAATGCGTCAAATGCTTATTTAAACAAGATTTTAGTTCTTCAAAAGCGAGTTTTGCGCTTAATCTATTTCACCGATCGAAGAGAGCATGCCATCCCTTTATTTGCCAAAGCAAAAATTCTGCCTGTTACGTTCCTATATTATGAAGCCGTAAGTAAACTTATGTTTGACGTGCACAACCAGAGGGCTCCCATTAATATTTTGAAACTATTTACTAAAACATCTCATATTCATACCTACAATACTCGATCATCCAAATCGCAGCTCTTTAGTACAAAGTACTCTAGACTTAACCTACAAAAAAAGGCTTTCTCGCGTGTTGGTGTCAAAATTTGGAATAAGATACCGAAAGAATTCAAAACGTTATCAAAACATTCCTTTAATAAACAAATTAAAACGTCTTTATTTCAGATACTAGATAATGAAGATTCTTATCTTGATGTTGAAAAGATCTCCTCTAAACTTAAGGACTGCATAATTAAAACAAATTGATCCGATTGCTTTCAGTACTAATGTATTTGCTTCTATACTTTATTGAACAACTATTGATGTATTTGCCAGCTATGCTTCTTTTTATAATTTAACAATATCTAATTATTTAGTTTTTAATTTTCTTTATATATTGTAAATAATGTTTGTTGATGATTGACCCGCCTCGAATAGCAAATTTGCTATCTGCGGGTCAACATAATCTAAATTATTTTGTAAGAAAAAGAAAAATAAAGTGTGTAAAAGTGTGTAAAAAGCTCAATTGCCTCAAATGACCCAAGGAGCTCAAATGACTGAATTGTCTCAAATGACCAAACCAGCTCAAATGACTGAGTTGCCTCAAAGGACCAAACCAGCTCAAATGATTGAGTTGCCTCAAATGACCCAACCAGCTCAAATGAATGAATTGCCTCAGATGACCGCGTACCGAAGCAGCTCAAATGATTGAATTGCCTCAAATGAACGAATCAGTCAATTNAAAACGTTTAAAGCGACATATCAATGACTGCAACCATCGTGTTGTATGCAAACCTCACAAACTTTAAAACACGTTCTCTAGTGATACCTGTGAAAGTATTCAGTAAAATTTCCGGTAAAATTTTCGCGGACAATCTGATCGAATTCTCTTACATTGTGTGCTGAGACTGAAACTTTTCACCTCAAGCAAATCTCCGTCGCACGGTCCAAACAAACATAGCGAACAACTGAGCTACTAGCATATATGTCTGTGTTAAACACACGAAAGGTTTCTAAAGTACACTTCACTCTGATTGGGCAGAAAAACACAAAGATTTTCTGGCACCAATCAGATGGCAGAACGACTGCGACCGTTTGGAACTAGTCTTGTAAGACAATGTCCCCAGGGGCTCTTCATGCCCTAACTTGAAATCGACTTAGCCCCTGGGTCTCCGAGGATAGCACTTTCTGTTCTACTCTCAAATTAATTTTGCTCTATATCTCCTGATGTAAAAAAGATACCAAATACAAAATATTCAGAAGTTGATGGATCTTCTTTAATTAGATATTAAACTTTCACAAAATTGAAAAAAAATTTATTTGTTTTTGATCTGTGAGACCCTAAGGAAAGAACTTCAGAAGGAGGAGTTTAATTAAGCTAAAAATACATGTCACTATGGTTAATCACTTTTATAACTGACCAAAACTTTCCCAATTTGATAGCCCAAGCACATGGCTGAGTAGTTGAATTGCTAATTGTGCCTTGTGAAGTCCTCCTGGTTAGTACAGTTTTGCTGTTTAGGAGTCAAACCCCTCAATGTCTGATGAGGACTTTTATTACTTGGAGTGTCTCCAAATGACTTACTGATTAATATCTAAGCCATTTATAAGTAGATGCAGTTGTACCTTTTCATCCTGTCCATTCACTATCAGCCATCTGGGACTGTGTGGCAAAAAGAACATTCCTATCCCTTGAATAAATGCTGGAATTCCTGACAGCCCAAACATAAAACGCCTTGAAGACAAACCAAATGACACTCAATTAATCTGGTCATTAACTGAACAATTATATACTTTATACATTTTTTTCATCCATTGTTCATTTCTTCAGGCTATACATTCTCAAAATATTGGAAAACTGTCTTTGAAGTGAAGTGTTTGACATCCATTCTCAAGCTGTAGTTTGCTTCACTTTTGAAATTAAAGGTTATGATCTAGACTTGGTTCTTTGAATTATAACTTTTATTTACATTTTTTCTAATCTAAATATTCTTTTCATTTGGAACCTCAAAAGATTTCTCTAGATCAGGAAAGAACAAAAGAAAAAACTCCCTAGCAAAGCAATTACTAACCACTACCTTTAACAATGTGAACACATACATCTATGTGTACACCATATCACATATGATGTACACATTTTAGCATACTGATATTGAACTCCCCTTGTACATTTTTTCCTCAGGAACCCAACTACTACACACTCAGAAAATGACTCACCAGCCAGATGGTAAATGAATGAAAAGCACATTGGCCAAGTAAGCCAGCAAAAGACCAAGACAGATACCAAGCTCATTGATTGATACCAACAAGCCACGCTTCTTCTGAAGTGTAAAGAAGACCTTTTGGTCATGTCTCAGTTTAATTTTCAAAAGCAAAATAATATGTTTTGCTTTAAGAAAGCAAACATGATGTACCACTAAATTAATTTCTAATTACAGTTATTTTGTAACAATGTTAAGTTCAGGTAACAACATGTCACTAATCATCAGTGACAGTCAAATAAAGTACATCTCAAATTAAAACATCAACCAAAAAACATATGAGATTAGAATACATCAACTTCTCAGTGAGAGGGTGTTGTTTTGATCTAATGCCAAAATCTCTTCACACTTTTATTAGGAAATGTATGGCTGTTAAAAGGGAGAATCAATAACAAGACCTTGGAAGGTAAGGAATTAACTCTGTCAATCATAAATATTAAACTTACTGCAGGAGCTATCTCAGAGATGTAGATGCACTCAGCAATGGCAGACAATGATACTCCGAACCCAATAATAAAACGTCCAATAATCTACAATCATAAGAATCATTTTCAGTTTGTCACAGATAAATGAGCACAAAAATTCTGCAAGCACTTTATTTGAGTGGATATAAGAATATAAAGACCAATGTGCTTCTATACTTTATTGAACAACTATTGATGTATTTGCCAGCTATGCTTCTTTTTATAATTTAACAATATCTAATTATTTAGTTCTTAATTTTCTTTATATATTGTAAATAATGTATGTTGATGATTGACCCGCCTCGAATAGCAAATTTGCTATCTGCGGGTCAACATAATCTAAATGATTTTGTAAGAAAAAGAAAAATAAAGTGTGTAAAGAGACCATTATATGGGAAGAGCTACCTACCAGAATTGCAAATGAGGGTGCAAATGCCAAAATGACTGCTCCAACAAGGAACACTGCAGAATTAATGACAATAGCCAGACGTCTTCCAATAAAATCCACTATTAATCCTGTATAAAAGAGTCACTATCAGTACTGAAAAGTAAGAGAAATTGTTAATGTACCTTTCATCAAAAACATACTGGGTGATGTTGTTATATCCTGGTATCCCTGGATATTGCAGGCTTGGCTGCCAAACCTAAAGATGTTTTAGATACGTTGGATCTGTTTTAATTTTGATATAAACTCTTCTTGGATATCTGAGTCTGTTCCAGTTACAATTAAAGACTTTGCAACACTAGAGATGTTAAATTAAAAAAGAAAAAAAGTTCATGGCATTTTGAAAAGTGAATACATGTATATTAGACAATTACTTTTGCTTTGGCTTCAGAGTACTTTTAATTATGACAAATAAAAGACTCCAACATTACCTCCAACCAGTGAGGCCAGAACTGCTCCCATCAGCATTGAACTCACCACCATCTCTTGTTGAGTGCAATCTAAATTGAACTCAGCTCTCAGCTGAAGAATGGCTCCAGAGACTACACCTGAGAAATATGTTATAAGTTCATAACTATTACTATTTCTGATCTCTGGCAGCCTACAGAAGGGAAATACTGCTACAATTTGCTGCAGTGTCACAGTAACTTGCCAACATGCATGAACAGGGAGCTGCAGGTCTCCTGCCATCCTTAGGAGAATTTTTCCCTTAAAATGTGACTTGCACCAACAAAAAAACATCATCAATCATTTCCTGTGATTGTCAAGGTAGTAGTTGCAATGAATGTTGTCTGTGATAGAAACTTATCTTTCAACCGCTTGAGCAGAAGTCTTTGTTGCAGCTATCAACAGCATCAGTTTAAATTAAGATAATTCATTTTCTTTGCTTTTTTTTTGTAAAAAAACAAGAAGTGAACAAAGTTAACCACCAAGCCCTTAATTGCTCCTCTAAAGCGCACTAGAAATGAATGCAAAAAAAAAAAAAAAACATACCAATTTTAGGCTTCAGTTTCCCTTTAAGGTAAATAGACATCTCTAATGGAAATAACAAACATAATTGCCGAGTTACAATTTAACATACCTATGTCATAACCAAACAAAACTCCACCCAGTCCAGCCATACATGCAGCCATTGTAAGGTATAACAATGGTTTTTGTGAGCAACAGGACCTGTCAATAAAACAAACACACTCATCACACTGAAGTTGATGTATTCTTAAACTGCACAGTGACTTTGATCAAATACACTTTCCTTCCCTCACTCTGAGGAGCAAATTTACTTTAAGTTTCAGTCTTTTCTCTCTGTTTTAATGCACTACAACCAATATAAAGGACTTGTCACAGTCCACCTCAATAGACCACTTAAAATTGGCAACCCCTCCCCCTTCACATAACTGCTAGCATTTAAAAAATAGCATATTATAAACCCAACACAAGGACTCTAGATGGAGGAGAAAAAAAGTATATTTATTCACCTCTCAACATTCTGAGGTTGAACCAACTGAAGTTGCTCCTGTAAACCATTGCTTCCATGCCCTAATGATTCTGGCTCAAGAAGGCTTGCTATTGAACAAATAAAATAACAAAAACAAACTTGAAGGGAGCAGTAGTTCAGTTGTTACCCCTACTTACAACAGAATTGTCGTATTTTCAACCTTTACACATAATGTGAAGCAAGTCCAAGCGGTATTTGCAAGGCCTTGTACGTGCATGACATTTAGGATGTCACATGTAAGAGTACGTAATATGCACAGATTTATTACTTTGTAAATGTTATTAACCAATCTATTTTTTTAATCATGGTGAAGCGTTTTAGTATCTTTGTTAAAAGCATTGTGTAAACAATTCTATTATTACTATTACTATTAACCCAATTTGTAAAAACTACCTGATCAAATCTGCTATTGTCAGACGAAACACGTAGGAGATTAAAACACGTTTTAATTATTATTAATTATTATTATTATTATTATTATTATTATACTATTTAAGTTCATTCAGTGCTGCTCACGCGAAAATCATATTCGTAAAAGGTTCTTGTTGAAAATCTGCCATCATCTACCAAACAGAAGCACAACAGAGGCAATTTAATCTCGTGATAAAAATAAAATAAAATTCCCCTACAACGTGCCTAACCATCGCACAATTCAAAGATTACACTAGTACTGTGCCAACAAATCTTTCCGTTGCACTTCGTTCATTTCTTTACAACTTTCTTACTAAAAATTAGTATACACAATACTGACTTGTATCTCGAGTTCTTCCCTCAGCGTAAAACTCAGTCGTGTAGTCTACAGGTGTTTCCTCCATGACATTAGCTGATCAACAGCATTGCTCCTGCCATGTTGACATCGTCTCTCTCCCAAGACCTTCCTCCGCTAGCCTCGTTTTCAAGATCAGACAAAGGCGACAAAAGGTGCGGGAAACTGTCAGTTGAAAAAAGACGAGAGGTTGGCAAGTATCAGGAAGAACCCTCACAAAGGTAACATATTGTAAAGTTTTTTAAAAGTCTTCCAATGGTATCGTTGATCGCTTTTCGAGTTTCAAAAAAATTTTGACGTATTTTCTTCATTTAAACATGCCTAAGGTTCAACTCAAGCTATTAAACCAGTTGTACTTTGACGTTTCAATTCGTAAACGGTGTCATGAACAAAATTTTTGTTTGTCTTCGAGATGGAAAATGCATATGTTTTTTTTTTTTATGAAATGGTTCAACTTCTATTCGTCGCTGTTCAGTTTTTCTTTCTATGGATAAACTTTAAATCGATGCGAACAACTTTTTTGGTTCCTCCATCCTCTTACAACGTCATATTGTAATCATAAATTATCAACAGTCTAATGTATTATTCAAATCGCCCATTTCTTTGCGTCACTCAAATAATTTCTGCTGGGAGGTACTTTAAAGTTGCGTTGGCAATGAAATTACGAGTCGAATCAGCTGGATCTTGTGTCTCAATTGAACTCTTAATTACAGTCACGCTTGCAGTGCAGACTGTCAAATTATCAAAATTAAGTTTTAAACTGTGATGATGGTAACCTGTGTATTTCCATTTTGAAGACAAACAAAATACTGCAACTCCACTCTCGATATTTTGGTTTAACTATGAGTTTTGATATCTATCAACGTGAGCTGGGAAGCAATGAAACCTAAGCAAATAATTCATTCGTCGCAATAATTTCCTTATTTCTCATTGCATTACATTTAATTCTTGTTTTTATGTGTGTGTCAATTCATCTTCGATGCTTTTAAAAATTAATCAAAAACTGCAATTAAAAGGAACTTGGTCAAAAGGGAGGACAGAACAATTGAGCATTATTTTGTGAGTGCTACTTACGAATATGCCTTTCGGCCGAGATTGTCAATGTTTAATGGTGCGTGGAGTGTTAACTGTTAAGTGAAATATGTTTTTCGTTTCAGAGAATTGAGTACTCAGTGGTTTTAACCGTTTCGTTGTGTTTCTAATAGGTGCAGCAGTATTCGGTCCAAGATTTTAAACCGGTAAGACAAATGACTTTTTCTGCGAGCGTCATTTAAAGTATATTTCCTTAGCTTGAGCCTTTGACGCATACAGAATTCCTTTGTAAAACCTCTTTTCTCCACCTAAAAGCTATCATTGAATATTGAACAGAGGCTAACCCACCTAAATAACCCTAACCCACCTAAAAGCTATCAGTTGAGTTTAGTGATTGATAAAAGTCTGTGGCGCGCCTTTTAGTTAGTATTAGAGTGACAGGAGTAAGAAATCAATTCTGCCCGAAGTTGATAACGATTTATGAGACTTTCGTGACACCTGAAATAGTCCATTCCGAAAATCCAATAAAACTCCGGTGAACGGGAAATATACGATCTTTTTGTATGTTATCTCTAAGTAAAAAATAGAAAGTTAATTTCAATCTTTTGTGGAGATATTGTTTTGATAAAAGGCGATAAAACACCCACAGGAATTATGCATGATAAATCAAACGCCTCAAGGCAATTCGGAAAAAGCTCGGAATTACATGGAAATTCCAAAAAGTCGACGAAGGGTGTTGTTACTCTTTACGCAGTGATAAGAAATTTGGAGTTCTCAACGAGAGATAGCAATAAAAATAGACAGTAACAAAGCAATGTTTGTTTTTCGTGATTTATTCCTTAACGTTATTAAACGTCGCTAGTCTCGAGATTCAATTCCAAGCACAGCAGGGGAAGATAAATGTGAACATCAAATTAGTTTTTTCTGTTTTATATATTTTTTCTTTTTTTCCATCGGCGTACTATGTTTACATCCGTGTCCAATTGGGGTACCTCGTGTTAATGGTCATTTAAATGTCTCAAATCAGAGTTGAACCATTCCAGTTAACGTAACGTAACATACAGCTTACTTTTGCGATTCGTCAACTGCAAACTGAATCACAAGCATTTTTCCCTGCAGCAGTTATTGAGTAAGACTGGCTGCAATTACAAATGCTCGATGCATAATTAAACTGCAAAGACAGAAATCCGGCATTTGAACAATTTAAACCGAGGAAAAACCTACTTTGAACAGAGGCTTTTTCAATAGGGACATTTTAGAAGTTGTAGCACTTTAGAATATTTTGTCCCAAGTGAAATCTTAAAAAAAATTGGTTCATTTTATTAGTTGTAAATGTCCTTCAATCCAAATAAATGGCATCTGACATCTGCAGACGTTAAGTGCTGCCATACTAATCAATAGTAAAGATTATTCGGCACCTTTTATCATGAACGCGTGTGATTGTAATTTTATGGCCACAGTGGCTTCTTGAAAGAAATTACAGGTTATAAAAATGACGTAGTTTAACCATAATTAAAGTACTGTGAAAAAGGTAAGTGTATACACGAAACACTTGAGTTCCATTCATGCCACATATATCATTTTTACGCCGGGCTACTGCCTCCTATGGAGGCGAAGCTATAATGTTGTCTTGTTGATTGACTGAGTGTAATAATAGAATACGAACGACCTCTTCGCCCACTTGATTTGACTGAGTAATTTTAAAATTCATTATTATTTTCGTGATAGTATCAGTGATCAAAGTAATTTAAAGGAGTCTTTTAAAACAGGGGAAATTAAATTCGAATTGGGTTCAGTCTGCGATGTTTACAGTCTATCCTTGGCAAAGGTTTCAAAGGGGCCTGGCATTAGATCCAAGCCGACCTCGCCGCTCAGATCTGGAAGGGGTCTACCAACAGGGTTTTCGAATTTTAATTGATGTAGGAGCCTGGACGCCACTAAGAATACTTCGCAACTTAGGCAACCGCGCCTTCCAGCACTGATTGGTAACTAGCTGAGCCAAGAAACTTTCCATCTTTGTGTAAGAACCCAGACGGGTCAAACAGTTCGGGATTCCGCTATTCATCCTTGTTTATTTCGGTAATATTTCCCCCCAATGAACACAGACCCCAGTCCATATAAAACTATTCACTTATGCATCTTTACAAATTGTATACGTTCCGCTTGTTGAAGTTGACGGGTTTTTCGGTTTTCATTCTAATCAACTTGACATACTATTAATTAATAAGGCGGCTTTTAACTCAGTGAGTCAACGCAAAATGCATATTATTGCCGTTTAAAGAATATCTGAAATTCTTGGTTACCGAAAATAAAATTAAAACTTGAATATCTAACGAATTTTACAATATGTTTGTATTTTTCGTTTAATTGCAGAAGAATCTTTACAGAGTCTTTTCTTCTCTCGAAAATCCAGCCTAAAATAAGAACAGGATTAAGCGACTGGAAGTTTGATGAAATGTCATTTTCGATCAAATTGTTTGAAGATTCTTCCAAAGAAACGATCAACTGCTTGTAAAGGGGCTGTAACTAGTCGCTTTCTATCAAATGTTATCGAAGCCGATGAGATAACACTAAACTTTCAGTAATTTAAGACAGAACTAATTGACCTCAGGGTATGAAAATGTGCACGCTTGGAGTACTTTCCAGTGTTTTACTACAACCGGCTAACCAAAAATGCCAAGGAGACTGAAGTGACTTTCCATGGAATGCTATTGATTTTGGAGTGGCAGGCTTTGGCAGAAAACATTAATTTAGTTGGACGCTTTTTGAGGTTTTAGCATTCTTTAAGGGAGTTTCGAAGAGCCTCTGTGACATTCGATATAATCTTTCGTAAAAGCGACCTCTACTCTAAAGCTTGTTTATCTTGTTTCTGAACAGTAGATCAGCACGATTGAAGAGTTGTTCACTCCCAATAGAGAGCTTATTCATCTTGACGTATCCACCAAGTTAAGTCGGTGAGTTCTCTAAGTTCCTTGAACTCTGTTTGTTCAACGTACAGACGGAATTAGAGCCAGCTTTGCTTTGCAGTTATCAGGTGAACAGTCATTTTTTGGTTACCAAAGTTCCAAAAATATTATGCATCAGGTCAGTCGTGGCGAGAGGATAAATGTGTTCCCTAAAAATGAAAACATTTTCCTTCACAAGTATGGGTGTCAGTTTGATCTCTCGCATGTTTAGTGCTTTTTCAGGCCTTGCCTTAAGTTATAGCGATCTTGCAAGCTACACTTCTTGCAAGCTACACTTCTAATTTCTAAAACTTTACTTCTCTTAATTTGCTTCATTTTCTCGTCCCCAAAACTTACGTCAGGGTTAGCCAGTTTTGTGAACTTTTATGGGTTTGGTACCCATGAATGGGTGATAATTGAGAATCGATTTAAAACCTGTATATTCAAAGTGCAACATATCAATCGCTATATGTTGTCATCTATCGAAGTGCTTTGGGAAATGGGCCTCATTTAAGGGCAGTTTTTTCTCCGAAGGAAATATCTACAACTAATTTGGAATCTTCCATACATGTCAAATTGATCTTGATGAGGTACTTACGATGTGTAAGTAGCTGATTTCATTTTCCTTTTGACTAATAATACCGATATAATCTAGTGCTATCCAGCTCTGGACAGCCTCTGCCGTCATACAATATATTGAAAACTTCCCTACTTATCTCAAGTAGTTTACAATTGGAAACCTCAAGAGTTGCATTGGACTCTAGGAGCTGTTAAGGAATTACTTATAAGCTATTACAACAAATCATTTCTGCGAAAATTCAGCTACTGAACTGAAAAGGAGCCTTTTTCTTTCCTGTAACGGCTGTGGGCCGCGTTTCATCGAATTTTCTGGCAGTCTGTCGAGTAAACTGTACAGTGACTAAAGCGACTTGATTCAGTGTCTGCTCCTCTATCATCGTTGTTAATGACAGAAGCTCAGAGATTACTACACTAAGTGAGATAAATTCGTTATCTTTATCTATTAAAGGAGACCTTTGATATTACACGCGAACTTTCGAAAACTGTGACCAGTGAGGGCTAAATACAAAGGCTGTCAGTCCGCCTTCCAAAGGAGTCTAAAGATTTATGAAGAAGACGTCACGTACAAGCGTCCTGTTTAGCGCATCGTTTTTGATTATTCGAGTTTTTTTTATTATTATTATTTTAAACAAGTTGATTTTTCCACGAATCATCCTCTCTTCGTCATTACTGAAGGCATCAACAAGGTGGATATTTTCTGTGTTAAGAACATAGAGAACATTGGATCAAAATGAAATAAAAATTCTTAAAAAAGAAAATGTCATTTGGACCCGGACATGTACTTTTGAATGATTCGTCATTGTTACAAACAGTTCGGGAAACGATCTGTCGTATTTTACCGTTGTGACCTGGGTTACTAGGCGACTAAGGACTCTGATTTCAAAACTTCAGTGATCATTCAGGATAACGTAGTAAGGGGACACGTGTTACCGTCAAATTAAAAAATTATCAGTCTAGAGGCATGCGATTGGATGATCTTAATGATTGCACTGGAGTCCCGATTTCTCGAACCTCCAGGGGAAACGGTTCGAGAAATCGGGAGTGCGAGAAATTGGGGTTGAAATTACAAGTGAAGCAAATCTAAGGGAAACAAGGTTTGGTTCGAGATATCGCCGGGAGGTTCGAGAAATCGGGATTCCACTGTATCGTCATTATTTTCTAACCGATGCAAGATAAAAGGAACAGCAAAAAAGAAAAGGAAAGAAAATATTGTTCATCATCCGACTTAAAAGTGCGTATAGAGTGTTCGATCACTCAGCAGATCACATACTGAATTCTCGTTTTGGCTCAAATATTTTGAATTATTGTAAATATGGCGTTCATAATGCAATAAGGTCAACATATGCTTATCACTATAAACATAAGAGGTCTCAAGTACACTCAAGAAGCTCGTCAAGATAATTTCAATTAATTCCAAAAGTAAACAAGTGAACGTCCTACAATGATTTGGTTAGAACAACAAAAGGTCTACTACATTAAATTGTATTACAGATTCATTTTCCAAGCTCTGCGTGACCGGCATGATCCAGTTTGGAACTGTCCTTTGTAGTCTGATCTTGTTCTGATTAGTTGATCTTGTGGAATGTTGGAAGCAGATGTACGATCACGTCCGATCAAGGTGTTTGCGCTTAACAGGTTTAATTAAAACGAGATTTTTATAATTTATTTAGCTTACAACACTG